GTGCGCAATATAATGATAATTTCTTCGTGTGTGGGACTGACCCTATCCTTGTTCAGAACTTCTTCAATAAAATGAGAGAGGTACTTGAGTCATTTGGTTTTGACGTCCACGAGGTCACTGATGCTGAGGCTGTGGTGGAAGGCTTGTGGGGGGTGGGCAACTGCATCTCGCTCACCGCGGCCAGGATTTGGAAACTCTCACCTTTGCCATTTTGGTGCGTCGCCAGAACATTCGACAGTGCAAACCTGATGTTAGGCTATGGACGGCCGTGAGGAAAGAGCTCCTGCAGGCCTCATCGTTGCTGCCTCTGATGAGTACTTCTTTGGACCTCCCCTGGTGTTCTCTTTGGCTCTGGATCCTGAGTGCGCAGCCCCTCGCACTGATGAACTTGAATATCCGTGTTAGAACCCATGCGGATTTTTCGGAAGTGCATCCGTCAGTCCTGGAGTTTGAGAAGTGGCGTAGTGTTTTCAGTGGCGAGTGGCAGTGCAAGGAGAACATCTTAAGCACGGAGGGTCGTGCTATGATTTCTGTTGTTCGACATAAACGCCGTTGTCGCAGGTGTCTACTAATTACTGGTTGATAACCTGGCTCTCGCGCTCTCGTGCGCAAAAGGCCGGGGAAGTTCCTACATTGCTAATCGTACCGTAGCTGCCAGCAGCTGTGTGCCCCAGCTTTGGTCAGTGATTGCAAGTACCATGTGTGGTGGATCTCTTCTGAGAGGACACTTGCTGACAAGCCGTCTCGTTGCCCCGTGCTTTACCAGCCTCAATTTTGGCCTACCTGGTTTGCTTGCAGGTTGCTCCCGCGAGGGGCCCAGTGAAGATGGTCATGTTCACAAGGACGCTCCACAGCCGGCAAGAAATGGGGACCGCCTCAGCAAGTACCGTGGCAACGTTGGCCGGGGCCCCTTCCCTCTTGGAGATCAACAAGGTTCGGCGGCCGGCGACTCAAGCGCGCTACAACAGTCCTTCTTCTTCTTCTTCTTGTTTTCTTCTTTTCTTTTTCTTGTCACTGTCTTCAGAGGAAGATGACGAACTATCACTAGAACTAGTCGATGACGAGGATGAGCTAGATGAGGATGAGGACGATGAAGGATCAGGGTCCGGGGAACCTCCTGGGTTCTTCCCACTTCCATCATTACCCCCTCCATTTCCGCTACCTTCGGCACCATCCTTACCTTGCGGTTGTCCAGGATATCCACTTCCATCTGCGCCCCCTGATCCGGACGCCCTCTCTTGTCCCTCGGGTGGCGAACCAAGCCCGAATGAAGTCATTTGTAGCAGCCTACGTTATCCTGATACCTAGAGTTCGTGCTTGTGTCAATAACAAACATTTCGATTGTACATGTGCCCAATATGAGCTTAGATAGCAACGCATGTTTCACTCCGCTGTTAGGCTCAAACCACACCCCAACAGACTGCAGCCGCAGTGAGAAAAGAGTGCC